TCACCAACCACCACCACTAACCATCACCAACCACCATCACCAACCACCACCACTAACCATCACAACCAACCACCACCAACCGACCACCACCACCACCAACCACCAGCAATCACCACAAACAACCACCACCAACCACCATCACCAACCACCACCACTAACCATCACCAACCACCAGCACCAACCACCACCACTAACCATCACAACCAACCACCATCACCAACCACCATCACCAACCACCACCACTAACCATAACAACCAACCACCATCACCAACCACCATCACCAACCACCATCACCAACCACCACCACCAACCAACCACCATCACCAACCACCACCACTAACCATCACAACCGACCACCACCAACTGACCACCATCACCAACCACCACCACCACCAACCAACCAAGTACCACCACCCACCACCACCACCGTCTCTCCTATTCACTGACCGCGGTGTGCATTGCGGCTCTCTGGTAATGTGTTTTTTTAATTTATTTTCAAAATCCGATCAAGAAAATGTCTCTTATTGTTATGTTGCTCGCCGGTCGCGCTGTTCCGGCACTGCAACTCTGAGTGTGTGTGTGAGAGTGTGTGTGTGAGGGTGTGTGAGGGTGTGTGAGTGTGTGTGAGGGTGTGTGTGTGTGATGTTTAAGTTTAAGTCGTAGATTCGTGGTAATTAATTGAAGGTGGAGGGGTTACCAGCCCCTCGCACCCGTCCAGAGCCCCCGTTTAGCCCGTGGTGGTACAGTAGGGGGCACAGGTGGTGCATCATCCAGTCATCTCAGTCATCTCAGTCAGTCGACCCGTGGCACCACCTGGGTCTGCCCCGTGACCTCCTGCCAGCGGGCGTTCGACACTTCACGTGGCCTCAGGGTGCACATAGCCTGGCACAAGCGTCGTGGTGACGTCACCGCCACTTCGTGGCGAATGGCGGTTGTTGTGTGTGTGAGAGCGTGTGTGTGTGAGAGTGTGTGAGTGTGTGTGTGAGGGTGTGTGAGTGTGTGTGGGTGTGTGAGAGTGTGTGAGTGTGTGTGAGAGCGTGTGAGTGTGTGTGACAGCGTGTGTGTGTGAGGGTGCGTGGGTGTGTGGGATGGGGCCTAACCATCAGCCCCACCAAAACTAAGCACCTGCCTGGGTATTTTGTACCATCGGACACTCCACCCCCACAACTCCCAATCGGTGATGGGGCAGTTGTGGAGAGAGTGGAGAGTTTCCCATACCTGGGCAGTGTGCTTATGACCGACTCCAGTTTAACAGCAGAGGTCTCACTCCGAATCAGTCGAGCGGCAATATCTTTTCATCGGTTGCGTAACGCTGTGTGGAAGCTACCTGGTCTGTCGCTCCGCACGAAGCTTCAGGTCTTCTCGGCCACGGTCATTCCCTCCCTTCTCTACGCTTGCGGAACGTGGACCCCCCTAATGGAACATCTTCGCAGGTTAGAAACATTTTGGCTGGCCTGCCTACGATCCATCATGGGTTGAACCAGGCTGGATTGTGTGAGGAGCTCACAAATCCTTGAAAGATCTGGGCAAGGTCCCATCGGTGAGCTCCTCTGGCGGGCAAGGCTGCGTTGGCTGGATCATGTAGCCCGCATGCCCAGCCACCGCATGCCGAAACAGCTTTTGTTCGGCCGGATCGAGGGGGCTAAACGGGCGCGGCACAGGCTAGAGAAGAGATGGAGTGATGTGGTACAGGATGACGTGGAGCTGAGTGGACTTGCCGCATTCTTCGGGGGGCTGTCTCGCTGCAACGCCACTTTGCAGAGTCGTGGGGCTCGTTGGGTGCTGAATTTTTCGAGCCGCGTGAAGGCGAGCGGGGGGAGTTAGTGGCGGGCGAGTTCAAGGCGAGGGTGAGTGCACGCGAGTTGGGAGTGTCGCGTTCAGAGAGTTGTCGCTTTCACAGTATCACGTTCAAAGCGTCACGCTCAAAGTGTCACGTGAAAAGTGTCACGTTCAGAAATGTCACGTTCAAAGTGTCGCGTTCAAAGTGTCACGCTCAAAGTGTCACGTTCAAAGTGTCACGTTCAAGTTGTCACGTTCAAATTGTCACGTTCAGAAATGTCACGTTCAAAGTGTCACGTTCAAAGTGTCACGTTCAGTGCCACGTTCAAATTGTCACGTTCAAAACGTCACGTTCAAATTGTCACGTTCAAGGCGTCACGTTCAATAGTGTCGTCACGTTCAAAGTGTCACGTTCAAAGTGTCACGTTCAGTGTCACGTTCAAAGCGTCACGTTCAAAGTGTCACGTTCAAAGCGTCACGTTCAAAGTGTCACGTTCAAAGTGTCACGTTCAAAGCGTCACGTTCAATAGTGTCGTCACGTTCAAAGTGTCACGTTCAGTGTCACGTTCAGTGTCACGTTCAAAGCATCACGTTCAAAGTGTCACGTTCAAAGTGTCACGTTCAAAGTGTCGCGTTCAAAGTGTCACGTTCAGTGTGACGTGCAAAGTGTCACGTTCAGTGTCACGTTCAAATTGTCACGTTCAAAGTGTCACGTTCAAAGCGTCACGCTCAAAGTGTCACGTTCAAAGTGTCACGTTAACAGTATCACGTTCAAAGCGTCACGTTCACAGTATCACGTTCAAAGCGTCACGCTCAAAGTGTCACGTGCAAAGTGTCACGTTCAGTGTCACGTTAAAAGCGTCACGTTCAAAGTGTCACGTTTAGTGTCACGTTCAAGGTGTCACGCTCAAAGCGTCACGTTCAAAGCATCACGCTCAAAGCGTCACGTTCAAAGTGTCACGCTCAAAGCGTCACGTTCAAAGTGTCACGTTCAGTGTCACGTTCAAAGTGTCACGCTCAAAGCGTCACGTTCAATAGTGTCGTCACGTTCAAAGTGTCGAGTTCAGAGTGTCACGTGTGGACAATATTGGTCGCGAAGGCCTGCGTGTTAAACGGTCGCGTTTTGTTCAACCGAGTGAGAGAACCTTCAGAGGCCATCACCAGGATGCACTAGTGAGTCTCGTGGTGCGAGAGTTGACAGGGAGGCGTTAGTCTGCCAAGTAGGGGGGGCCCATGGTTGCTACTGTTCCATCATCGTCGTCGTCGTCGCGTTCCACGGGTGCAGACAGACCCCGCAGGTGACTCCTCGCAGGAGGTGTATGTTTGGTGTTTGAACATCTGAACACCTGCTGTTTTATTGCCAGAAAGGCTAAGACCTACTGTTATACGTACAAATAAAACTAAACCATCCCCATCCTATCAGACAAAGCCCACCGAGGCATTAACTTTTATTTTTCACGAATCTCCTGTCGTCGTCGTCGTCCTCAAGCCGTTCTCTGCGAGGCCTTCCTCTCTTTCCGCTTCCTTCCATTTTTCCGATCAACAACAACAACGACAACGACTCTTTACATTTTCCCTCTTGTTGTCCATCCGACGCAATGTGTCGAAGCGGTGCCAGTTTCCTTCTCGGCGCTGCCCCGCGTCACCGGGTTGCCGTCCGACCTTTCGTGTCGCGTCTCCAGGCCGCTCTGCATTATCCCAAGCCGGGTCGATTCATGTCGTGGCTGCAAATTTCGGAATTCGGCGAGCAAAAAAAACAAACCCAAACAAACGTGGACGCTCGCGCTGCCGGGCACCCGCAGAGCGGCGCGCTCGTGCGAACGACGTCGGGCGGCGGGGGGGCGAACTTCAGCGAGCACCGCGAGGCGAAGAGGGCGGCGCCTGATGCCAACTCACGGCTCGTTTGACACGCAGCAGGAGGCTTTTCGCGAGCGATATCGTCCGTGGCACAGCGGGTTCTTTTTTTGGGTTAGGTCGCGCGAACATGTGAATGTGTCGTTAAACCCGCCAACCACCCGACACGGGCAATGTGGCTGTGGCCCGATGAAGCTTAGGGGCAATTACAGGCGAAACGTCGTCCCCCAACGCACAAGCGGCGTGCTGTACCGGTGACGCATTGGGCCACGTTCTGTTTACGTGATACTAAACCTCACTAGTTGGCCGTGTCGGGTGGTGGCGGGTTTAACGACGACACATTTATATATTTTCGCGACCTAACTAAAAAAAAACAACTCTATTATAACTACGGATATTTGCATGCTAAGTGATAACCAGGGCGGCCACTGGATTTAGAACCACGAACCTCTCTGCGACAAGCGGCGAACGTGCTGCCGCCGGGACGCGTCACCGCCACACGTCGCTCTGTGCGTGTGTTACCGAGTTGAGTGTGTGTGTGTCAGTGTGTGTGTGTCAGTGTGTGTGTCACGTTATGGGGAGCGATAGTGTATCGGTTAGCGCGGTTAGCGCGCTGCGCTATGAACCTGGCGACCCAACACCAGTGACGATTATCTGAACCGGTCCCGGGCCTCCCCTAGGTCGACTCAGCCTCAAATGAGTACCTGGTGCGGTGTGTAAACATTGCCACTAGGGAGACAAAGGCGGTCGGGCGTGGTGCTGGCCACCCACCCCCTTGTGTACCGTTCCGGCCTTCATAGGTGCTCGCTAACAGCACTTGCCCCTACAGTCTGTTAAGGCTATATGGGGGATCTTTGTCTTTATCTTTGTCACTGAGCGTGGGTTCTATTCCCGCTCACGGCGCAACAACAGTGACGACTATCTGCACCGGTCGTGGGCCTCCCCTACGTGGACTCAGCCTCAAATGCTTACCTGGTGTGGTGTGTAAACATCGCCACTGGGGAGACAAATGTGGTCGGGCATGGTGCTGGCCACCCACCCCCTCGTTTGCCGTTCCAGCCTTGATAGGTGCTCGCTAACAGCACTTGTCCCAATAGTCTGCTAAGGCTATACGGGAATCGTTGTCTTTGTGTCGCACAGTAGGGGGCACAGGTAGTGCATCAGTCAGTCAGTCAACCGATGGCACCTGGTCGTGGGCCTTCCCTACGTACTCAAATGACTACCTGGTTGCGGCGTGTAAACATCGTCACTGGAGAGACAAAGGCGGCCGGGCGTGTTGCTGACCACCCACCTCCCCGTCGTGCGCCGTGCCGGCCTTCATAGGTGCTCGCTAACAGCACTTGTCCCAACAGTCTGTTAAGGCTGTACGGGAAACTTTGTCTTTCGTGTGACCGCTGCAGGAGATGGAGAATACCATCCACCTGATGAAGCATGACATCGACCAGGCGATGCAGATGAACCTCAGCAACGATCTTACAAAGCAGCAGCACCACCACCACCTCCGCCATGGGCACGTGCACAGGTATGACGGACGCTAACAACCTTTTGTCGGTTCAGTGACCCGTCCGTCACACCTAGATATATTCGATAAAATATAGTCAAACAGTAAATTAATATTTCGATTTAAAGCTTTCGTGACTGCAATGATTCATCTTCTTTGGTTCTTTCGGTAAAGTCACGTAGAATGAGAATAAAATAATAAATTGATAAAATAAAATAACACAATAATATTCTCACGACTGTCTGTCCTACCAGACAGTCTCGCCCCTTCACCTGATGAAGGCCGCTTGTGTTGTGGCCGAAACGTCGTGAGAATATTATTGTGTTATTTTATTTTATCAATTTATTATTTTATTCTCATTCTACGTGACTTTACCGAAAGAACCAAAGAAGAAGTAAATTAATACACTGGAATGAACGAGTGAATAATAAATCAATCTATGTGTGGTCCTACATTATGTTTCTTCACTATTTTTCTTTTATTTTTTCATTTAATACTGTGCGGTATAAACCACGACATTATTTTCATTATAAATTGTCTTTGTTTGCAGTACGAATGGTCAGTTACGAAGTGTGTTTATGGTGTGAAATGGCGAATTACGAAAGGCTGGGTACTAACGATAGAAGTTATTCAACATGCGAAGCTAAAATATCCGTAACGACGCTCCGAGAACGCGTCCCCTTTGTACGTCGAGGTTATTGCTGTCACGCTCTTCGCTGGCCGGCAAGGGTGAACGCGTACTTTACGTAACCGAATCAGTTCCGGCGCAATTTATTTTAAAATCCTAACAAATTTTAGTTTCACGTCTTCCCAAAATTGCAACTTCCTCACTCGCGTGCGGCGCGTCGCTCCTCCACAGCGAGGATGACGAGTACCCTGGCTGGGATTCTTCCGGATCGGACGAAGGAGGCACAAAGGGTGCACGCGATTCCGAAAACCTGGTAAGGACTCGCACCAAAGTTAAAGATCGCCCGTGCGTAGCCACAACAGGCGAGCAGCACCGATGAAGGCCGGAACGGCAAACCAGGGGGTGGGTTGCCAGCACCACGCCCGGACGCCTTTGTCTCCCCGATGGCGATGTTTTTACACACCGCACCAGGTGCTCATTTGAGGCTGAGTCGATCGAGGGGAGGCCCCAGACCAGTTCAGATAATTTAATCGTCGCTGGTGTTGGCCGTGAGCGGGAATCGAACTCGGGTCGCCGGTTTCGTAGGGCAGCACGCCAACCGCTATGCTACCGCACCAAAAGCAAAGATCCCCCGTATAGCCTGTAACAGACTGTTGGGGCAAGCGCTTTTAGTGAGCACTTATGATGGCCGGTATGGCACACGAGAGGGGTGGGTGGTGAACACCACGCCCGGCCGCCTTTGTCCCCCTAGTGGCGATGTTTACAAACCGCACCAGGTACTCATTTAACGATGAGTCGACCTAGGGGAGGCCCGGAAACCGGTTCAGATAACCATCACCGGTGTTGGCCGTGAGCGGGAATCGAACTCGGGTGGGCCGGGATCGTAGCGCAGCGCGCTAACTTTTACGCTACCACAACACACGCACACACACACCAATAGGTAAGCAAATCTGATTGATGCGTCATTTGTAAGTTTGGTCGGTCTTCTCGAGTTAAATTCTATTTTCTTTAACCTTCTTGAAGACTCAGGGTGATCGGTGCGAGCGCTCATTTGCTAACCGCGACCCGGTTCACCGAAATGGCGAAGAGCAAAAAAAAACAAAACCACCGTCGCGTTCACAAAATCGTCGCGCTCCCTCTACCCTCGGGCACCTGGGAATGACGCAAGTTGCTGGGAAGTCGATGGGGCATTGGGCGATTTGGGGGGGGGGGGGCGCCCGTTACGAATGCCAGCCCTGTGCGTCGGTATGTCCGGTCGTTCATTGTCCGCGTCGCTGCCTTTGGCGATGTCGTACGCACGGACCGTCCCACAGTCAGGCGAAACGTGAAAGTGTTTCATTTTGTCTCCGTGACAGTGAAAAAAAAATGCACTGCAGGGACTCCTCTACTTACGGACACTCGACTTACGAACTTTCAGAGACACGAACGAAGCTGTCCCCGTATGTCCAGTTGCCTGTTTGTACCGAGAGTCGTAAGTTCAACCGCCGCGCAATAGATGGCGGTGGTGGCATCTACATCTGCAGAACATGAAGAATCAGTGGCATCTACATCTGCAGAACGTGAAGAATCAGTGGCATCTACATCTGCAGAACGTGAAGAACGAGTGGCATCTACATCTGCAGAACGTGAAGAACCAGTGGCATCTACATCTGCAGAAAGTGAAGAATCAGTGGCATCTACATTTGCAGAACGTGAAGAACCAGTGGTATCTACACCTACGTAACGTGAAGAACCAGTGGCATCTACATCTACAGGAGATTAGACAACTTTTAAAGCCATTCCCCGTGTTTAATGTACACGCCGTACAACATGTTTGAACTTACGAACAGTACCTTTGGAACCTAACTCATTCATAAGCAGAGGAGAGACTCTGTAGAGTTTTTAATGCACCCGACCTGTTATGTTAATTTATACAGTGAACAGTGACCCATAGCCACTGTATCCAGTACATTTAGGTTTTTTTTCCCCCCATAAAGAAATCGGCAATCAGCAAAATGTTGCCGAGCCATTGATTTACTTCTTAATTTCATTTCACCAAGCGAGGCCCCAGAAGCGACCCGGCCATCGCCAACGATAGCGCGGCGGAGTGGCTCATCGTCGTGTGGACATTACAGTAAAATTTAAACGCACGTTTCTAAGTCTGTACACTGCCGGGTGGGGGGGGGGGTCATGGTATCGGTTTCCCAACTTAGTTATGGGCTAATGACATTTCACGGTAATGGGGGGGGGGGGGGGGAATGCGTGCTTGATCAGTAATTTAACTGTGCGAAATAACTTGGGGGGGGGGGGAGGGAAAAAAACAATCATCACTCTTTGGACAATTCGCTGTTTAGAGCGGCGGTTCTTAACCTTTACTGCAGCCTTTTGGTTCTCGGTCGTCAAACATTTCGATAATGTTAATAAACACGTAGGGGTTTGCTGAAACAAAGCGAGTTGTAACTTACGTTGCCCCCGTGCGTAATTTTTGTGTTCTCGATGATTTACCTTCTCAAAAGAAGAAATCTGTCCGTGTCTCGCCACCCCCCCCCCAGAAAGGGCATCTCGCACCCCCAGGGGGTGGCGTGATGCACCCCCAGGTTAAGAAGAAGAACCACTGGGGTAGTGTATAGTGTGGTTTATAGTGTAGTGTATAGTAGTGTATAGTGATGTCGTGTTTAGTAGTGTATAGTGTCGTGTACAGTAGTGTAGTGCATAGTGCAGTGTATAATAGTGTAGTGCATGGTAGTGTAGTGTATAGCGTAGTGTATAGTAGTGGTGTAGTGTATAGTGTAGTGTATAGTGTAGTGTATAGTGTAGTGTATAGTGTAGTGTATAGTGTAGTGTATAGTGTAGAGCAGTAGTTCTCAACCTTTACCACAGCCTAGCACCGTTTTGGTTCTCACTTGTAAAAAAAAACATGTATAATGTTAATAAACACATAGGGGTTTCATGAAACAAAGTAAGTTGTAACTTATGTCGCCCGTGCTTAATTTGTGTTTTCGATGATTTGCCTTCTAAAAAAAAAAATCTGGCCGCATCTCGCCACCCTCGAGAAAGGGCATCTCGCACCCCCAGGGGTGGCGTGCACCCCCAGGTTAAGGAGAAGAACCACTGCTTTAGAGCTAACCGTCTTCGTGTTTTATTCTCCGTCTTGAGCGTGCGAGTGTCTGTTCGATGTGTCAGTGCGGCGCACGTTTAACCCCGTGCCCCCGTCGCCGCAGGCCGGCGCTCGTCTGCAAGAGGAACCGTGCAAGTGGCGGTATTTGATCCCCGACTCGGAGTCGGTCTGCACCAGCGACGGCTGCTACATCCAAGTCGGCCACAGCCACGCCGCCTTCTCGCTGCCCAAAGGCACCTGCGGCGATTTCCACGGCCTCCTGCCGCAGGACCTCAGCTCTGGCTTGCTGGACTCTGACCTCAGGGAAAGCCAGCTGAACGTCATCCCGTCGCAGTCGAGCCACGGCGAGAGCGAGTCCCGAGAATTCCTGCGTCAGGATCTCGGCGCCAGCTCACTGGATTGCAACGTTGGCCTCGCGTTCTCCGGCACCGTTCTGGCCAACGAGTCGACTCCCGGCGGTCCGCGGCCGACCGGCGCATCGGCGTGCCGCGGCCACCACCGCCTCCACTGCCTCCGCCACCACGTTCACCCCCACCAAGGTTCACGGGCGTCTCGACAGCAGCAGCAGCGGCGGCGGCGGCGGCCTCGGTGGAGCGCGTCACGCGAGCTCGCCTGCTCGCGGACGCTCGGCACCGGCGGCCAAATCGGCCACCGAGAGGAGTTGGCCCAGTTTGGCCATCGGAGGGCCGCTCCGCCGACGCGCTCCGCCACCGACAGCGATTCCTGTGGCGAGCTCGCCTCGAGCGACTCGGCAGATTCCAGCGCCGGGCGCCGGTCGGGCACTGGCGCACCGCTGCGTTTTTGCTCCGGAGGCGCCGGCCGCTCGATCCGCGCCATCGTCAGCAGGGGCAGGCAAACAACCGGGGCCGCGGTGCGCTTGCTGATGTCCCTGGGCGCTTTCGACTTCGCGAACGGCCTCACGGTCGCCAGCCTTTGCTTCTTGGTCACGCTCACGCTGTGCCTCGCGTACCTGTGGCTCATCTCCAGCCACGCGGTGTCTTGCGTCCACGTGAAGAGCTTTGGGAAGGCGGTGGCGTGTTCGGGCCCGGTGCCGGTGTAAAGAGCGAGGCGTGAGCGCAGGAGAAGTGCGGGTGCTCGAGTTGCGAGCGACGATTGTACGCGCTTACGGAGGGCGGAGGAATGGTTGGAGTCGCAAGATGGCATTTTCAAGCGCGACGGGGCAAGGATTTGTGATTGCTGGATTTAATTGCAAATAAAAACGGTGGCTAAATGCAGTCTTCTGCAGTCTCTGTGACTTTTCTAAACGCAGTTTATTGTTAAATTTAATTCCACGGCAACTCGGGGAAAATGCGTGCATCATCGGTAATTGAAGCGTTCAAAATAACAATAGAGGGCTGTACATTACGAACTTAACGATTTTGACAGTGCATGCCGAGTTAACGTCCTAACACCTCCTGTTTTATTGCCAGAAAGGGTAAATATTTGTTACACTTTGATACTGGCAAAAAACGTCCCATTTTGTAGCTGTTCACACCGAGCTATGAAAGTCCTGATAGTGGCATTGTACTGGTACTGTTCGCCTTTTGGCGTTCTCTGGTCTGACACTGGTAGCGAGACTGGGCCATAAAGAACAAGGCTGTCTCTCGTGTCGGCCAATCAGTTTCAAAGACCATGCCATATATCACTATCAGAGCATATTTGTCTGCATGTTCACCACAAGAACCGTGTGTGGTTAATGCACTACTTGATTCCTTGCAAAAGGTTTATATTTGGTGCATGAACATCTTAACACCTCCTGTTTTTATTGCCAGAAAGGGTAAAAGCTATTCTTATTTTTTCAAACAAATGCGATTTTTTGCGAGTTACAGACCAAAAAAAACGCAACCCCTGTTGTTAAACATAGTGCAGAACAGAATCGAGTTAGCTCACGAGATATATACATGTGTATGCATCGAATCAATGTTTTGTCCTCACTTTCATGGGTTCAACGAACTCCACCAGCCCACCAGAAGCCAACGCGGTAAACTGCAGTGCAAAGAAAGGAAAAAAATATATATATACACACACATTTTACATTGAATCCAATTCCCTTTGTCTTTCGGTCGACAAAAGCTAAGGCATGCTCATCTTGATTTGAAGCTTTCGTGACTAGCAGGAATCCGTACTCTTTGGTTCTTTCGGTAAAGTCACGACGTTTCGATCGCAACACGCAGGCAATCGTCATCAGGTGGGACAACCACAGCGAGAACACTGCCGAAACTGCTGAAGCTCAGCAGTTTGTTCTTGCTGTGGTTGTCCCACCTGATGACGATTGCTTGTGTTGCGATCGAAACGTCGTGATCTATTATTATTTTTTCTACCTACGTGACTTTACCGAAAGAACCAAAGACTAAGGCATGCTGTAATGTTATTTGATATTCATTATTGATGAAAACGTTATACCGGGATCATCCCTCGAGATGGAACTTTGTTAGTTGACGGTATCCAGGGAGTCGAGTGACACGCAGCACACGCATAAGGACAAATATCGCCCGTATAGCCTGAACAGACTGTTGGGGTAAGTGCTGTTAGCGAACAACTATGAAGGTTGACACGGCACACGACGGGGGTGGGTGGCTAGCACCACGCCCGGCCGCATTTGTCTCCCCAGTGGCGATGTTTACACACCGCGCTAGGTACTAGTTTTGAGGCTGAGTCGACCTAAGGGAGTCCCAGGACCGGTACAGATAATCGTCACTGGCGTTAGCCGTGAGCGGGAATCGAACTCAGGTCGCCGGGTTCGTAGCGCAGCGTAGCGCTAACCGCTACACCACCGCTCCTCACAGCAAACACCTAACGGACACGTCTACACACACACTTTCAAATATACAACACGTGCAGTTTAGTAGGTTATACAATGCCATATACATTTCGTGTGAAGAACGGGCTGAAGTCTATGGCGTGGGGCTAATGACACGCTGGGGCCGTCCATAAATGACGTCACGCACCTGGGGGGGGGGGGGTCAGACATTTGTGACGATGTGTGACGAGGGGGGGGGGGCGGTGAGAAATGTGACGTCACATCAAAATGCGCAACTTTAAATAAATATAGACAACACGTTCTACTTAATTAAATAGACTTTTTAATAAATGTTTTCTCCTACAACATCAGAGTGCAGCGCCACATTAAATACGCACTATAATGACAATAGTTTAAAGCGATTTGAAGCGTGTTTTTTTGTGGGGGGGGGGGGGGGCAGAGCTTTGTGACGTCATATTTGAGGGGGTGTCTGACTTTTTGTGACGCCGTGTGACGAGGGGGTCAAAAATCGTCCAAAATCGCGTGACGTCATTTATGGACGGCCCCTAGGACATTCACCGTTGCGTTTCCCCCGGCAAATTGGTACACGTTTTATCGACCCCACCATCACCGAGGCAGGGATGATGGGTCGAGTGAACCCCTCAACCAGGGGTTTGAATTCGCAATCCTCCAAGTTCGAGCCACTCGTTCCACCGCCACCTGGACGACTCAACTTGAAACAGGATTGTACGGGGTGGTGGTCCAGATGACCTGTGACCCCCCCTCCCTTCCCCCAATTAACTGACCGCTAACATTTTAATAAATCCTACTATATAAAAAAAATATCAAATTGTAGACAATTAATCGGGGGTCATACGATATCTGCACCACCCGGTACCCCGAAATAACCCCCCACGCCACCTCATTTAGTGGGCTCGTCTTGATTCGTGTGGTTGATGTTGATGAAGAGCAGGGGGTGGGGAACCTTTTTTTCTGACAATATGCCATTCGGATATTTATAAAAGGTCATTCGCGGTGCCATACAAAATTATTAACTTACAAATTAGCCTTGTTATAATCGGCCAAACATTTAATTAACTCGCCTCCCTAATGCGACGGGCTGGAACTGCTTATCTTTGGCGAGGCGTGTGATGGATGTTAGCCGGTATTGATGATGTTAGCTGGTATTGATGATGTTAGCTGGTATTGACGATGTTAGCTGGTATTGTGGATGTTAGCCGGCTGTTGACGATGTTAGCTGGTATTGATGATGTTAGCCGGCTATTGATGATGTTAGCTGGTATTGACGATGTTAGCTGGTATTGACGATGTTAGCTGGTATTGATGATGTTAGCTGGTATTGATGATGCTAGCTGGTGTTGATGATGTTAGCCGGCTATTGACGATGTTGCCGCTACTCGCAACTGCTTTTTCCAGGTTTGCTCTCCTAGATTCGTTGAGTTTCGAGTCCCGCCTGCGGGTTGCCTTGGCAGGGCCAGAGACCCAAATGATTTCGTGCGCCTCACACGGCCCGCGGGCCGGACGTTCCCCCACCCGTGATGTAGAGCAACAGCGACAATTTTTCATTCTCGTGGCTAAGGCAGACAAAGCGCATCGCTGTAATTTGAGTTCATGAGTGCAGTATTTTCTAAAATCTGATTGAACCGTAATGAAACTATATATTTTTTTACCAGGTAAAGTCCCACTGAGCTTGACACAGAAGCTCTTTTTCAGAAGCGACCTGGATACCACAAACGATAGCTCAACGAAGTGGGCTTATCACGTGGACATTTATATCAGCCACAATGATGTAAACGCGTGTTTCTAAATGTGGAGAGAAAACCCCGGAGGAGCTGGAGGAAAAAAATTCACGCTACCATGCGGAGAGAGAGACACCGCAAACTTGAATTTGGAGCTTTCGTGACTGCAGGAATTATTCTTTGTTTTTTTTGGTAAAGTCACGTAGAAATAATAAAATAACATAACATAATAGTGTACACTATTATGTTATTTTATTATTTCTACGTAAATAACATAATATAAATAACATAATAGTGTACACTATTATGTTATTTTATTATTTCTACGTGAATTTACCGAAAAAAAACAAAGAATAAGACACCGCAAACTCCAAATATACAGCAGCAGGCGTCAGGGTCGGGATCGAACCCACGGCCTCCTGCATCAGGGGCTGTCCATAAATGACGTCACGCACCTGGGGGGGGGGGGTCAGACATTTGTGACGATGTGTGACGAGGGGGGGGGGGTGAGAAATGTGACGTCACATCAAAATGCGCAACTTTAAATAAATATAGACAACACGTTCTACTTAATTAGACTTTTAAATGTTTTCTCCTACAACATCAGAGTGCAGCGCCACATTAAATACGCACTACAATGACGATAGTTTAAAGCGATTTGAAGGATTTTTTTTATTTTTTGGGGGGGGGGGGCAGAGCTTTGTGACGTCATATTTGAGGGGGGGTCTGACTTTTTGTGACGCCGTGTGACTAGGTGGGGGGGGTCAAAAATCGTCCAAAATCGCGTGACGTCATTTATGGACGGCCCCTAACAGGCGAAGCAGTTAACATATCGCCACCGGACTGTCTGGGACATACACATAAGTACATGAGAATTAAAAAAAAAACCATAGTCATTGTGACGACCAATTACTGAATAGCTTAGTCAAGACGGACTGGCAAAGTTGTGGGGCTCAGGAGCGAATCCGCTCGCATGCGCTCTGGCAAATGTAAAGAGACGTGCCCCACGTGTTCAGTGGCGACCACGTGCTCCGCCCGGCAGTCACGCGCTCGCGATGACGAAGGCCGTCACGCGCGCGGTGACGTCACAGCCACCAACCCCCCCCTCCCTTCCCCCCCTCCTCCCCCCTCCCCCCAGCTGACCTCTCACCGTCGGAGGGAGCGGTGGCGGAAGTGGTTAGCGCGTTGCGGCCACCAACGATCAAACCCACCCCTAGGTCGACTCAGCCTCAAGCGAGTGCCTGGGGCCACAGTGGTGGTGTGTTAAAAAAAAACATCGCCACTGAAGGGAGACAAAGGCGGCCGGGCGTGGTTGCTGCCCTCCCCCCGACCCCAAACCCCCGTGCCCTCCCCAACGTGTGCCCGTGCCGACCTTCAAAGGGTACTGCTACTCGCCAACAGCACTTGCCCCTACAACAGCCTGTAAGAGGCTATACGGGGGAGCTTTGTCTTTGTCTTTTGTTGGGGTGGGAGGGTGGCTGTGGGGTGTGGAGGAAGCACGCGATTGGTTGGAATGTGAGCTCGGGCCCGGCGCGGGGGACCAATCACGCGGCGCGGCCTTGCGCGCCTATAAATAGGGGAGACGAGAGCCTCCCCCCCACCTCAGTCGTCATTGTGAGCTCGAGGTGGTGGTGGTTGTTGTTGTTGTGGTCTCTACAGTCGCGTGTTTACAATTTATATAAACAACAACAACAAACGACGATCAACATGCAGTGCTACGCCGCCATATCGCTCCTCTTGGCTGCCTGCCTGCTGCCCGCAGATGCGCTCATCAGGTGGATAAAATACACACGCAGACACACACAGGCGGAGACACAGAGACACACGCAGACACACACAGGCGGAGACACAGAGACACACGCAGACACACAGGCGGAGACACAGAGACACACGCAGACACACACAGGCGGAGACACAGAGACACAAAGACACGCAGACACGCACACAGACACGAAGACACAACTATACACAGACCCACACACAAGACACGCAGACGGAGACACAAAGATACACACAGACACAAAGATACACACAGACACAAAGATACACACAGACACAAAGATACACACAGACACAAAGATACACAGACACAAAGATACACACAGATACACACAGACACAAAGATACACACGGACAAAGATACACACGGACAAAGATACACACGGACAAAGATACACACGGACAAAGATACACACGGACAAAGATACACACAGACAAAGATACACACAGACAAAGATACACACAGACAAAGATACACACAAAGACACACACAGACACATAGATACACACAGATACACATAGACACAAAGACACAGACACACAGATACACACAGACACACACAGACACAAAAATACACACAGACACAAAGACAAAGATACACAGACACAAAGATACACACAGACACAAAGATACACACAGACACAAAGATACACAGACACATACACAGACACAAAGATACACACAGACACAGACAGATACACACATACACAGATACACACAGACACATAGACACACACAGACACACAGATACAGACACAAAGATACACACAGACACACAGATACACACAGACACAAAGATACACACAGACACAAATATACAGACACAAAGATACACACAGACACAAAGATACAGACACAAGATACACACAGACAAAGATACACACAGACACAGACACAAAGATACACACAGACAGAGAGATACACAAAGATACACACAGACACAGATACAGACACAAAGATACACACAGACAGAGAGATACACACACAAAGATACACACACAAATATACACACAGATAAAGATACACACAGACACAGATACACACAGACACAGAGATACACACAGACACAGAGATACACACAGACACAGAGATACACACAGACACAGAGATACACACAGACACAAAGATACACACAGACACACACACGGGGACGATGTTGTAATTGAAGCTGACGTAGGCCTGCTATGTAGGTCGCGTTAACACGCCTCCGCCCGCATCTCCATACATTGTACATCGCCACAGTGGTCAACTGCTGTTGAACAAGAAGAGTGTCCTTGTTGTGTGTCTGTGTGTTTGTGTGAGCCCAAAGACAAAGATCCCCCAGGGTATAGCCTCACCCCAGCACCCGGCAGTGAATCTGAACCGAGCCCTGGGCCTCCTCCACCCCCCCCCCCCCCCCAGGTCGGGTCGGCCTTAAAATGAGTTACCTGGTGCGGGTGTGTAAGTGAACGTCTCGCCACTGGGGAGACAAAGGTGGCCGGGAGTGATTCTGCCCCCCACTGGGGAGACAAAGGTGGCCGGGAGTGATTCTGCCCCACCCCACTGGGGAGACAAAGGTGGCCGGGAGTGATTCTGCCCCACCCCACTGGGGAGACAAAGGTGGCCGGGAGTGATGCTGCCCCACCCCACTGGGGAGACAAAGGTGGCCGGGAGTGATGCTGCCCCACCCCACTGGGGAGACAAAGGTGGCCGGGAGTGATGCTGCCCCACCCCACTGGGGAGACAAAGGTGGCCGGGAGTGATGCTGCCCCACCCCACTGGGGAGACAAAGGTGGCCGGGAGTGATGCTGACCACCCTCCCCCCCTCGTGTGCCACCGTGCCGGTCTTCACAGGTGCTGCTACTCGCTAACAGCACTTGCCAGGGACTCTGTGAGATTGTAGGACAATAGTCTGGGTCAATAATTGGCAGTAGGTAAGGGCAAAGCGGTTCTAAGCGACTCGCAGAATTGTGCGCAGTTGCGTCTACAGAGTCCACGACTTGCCTGAAGGCATCGACACCTCCAGCGAGCGCGATGCCGATCACACCACGCGGTTCGAACTCGACACCTCGACATCGATCACACCACGCGGTTCGAACTCGCCACCTCGCCATCGATCACACCACGCGGTTCGAACTCGCCACCTCGACATCGATCACACCACGCGGTTCGAACTCGACACCTCGCCATCGATCACACCACGCGGTTCGAACTCGACACCTCGACATCGATCACACCACGCGGTTCGAACTCGACACCTCGACATCGATCACACCACGCGGTTCGAACTCGACACCTCGCCATCGATCACACCACGCGGTTCGAACTCGCCACCTCGACATCGATCACACCACGCGGTTCGAACTCGACACCTCGCCATCGATCACACCACGCGTCGGATTAACAGCAAGGGGCAAGTGTTGATTTAAAGCTTTCGTGACTGCAGGGATTCACATTCTTGGTTCTTTCTGTAAAGTCACCACGTTAGAAGGGGAAACGATAAAATAATTAAAAAATATAAAACAATAAAATTCTCGCGACGTTTCGAATGCAACACAAGCAAGCATCATCAGGTGTGATGATGATGATGGTTGCTTGTGTTGCGACCGAAACGTCGTGATGATTGTATTGTTTGATATTTTTATTATTTGAAGCTCAACAGCGTTCATTGAAGCTCTGTCGTCCCGACAGCTCTGTTCCTTTCACCTGAAGAAGGCCACTTGTGTTGTGGCCGAAACGTCGTGAGAATTTTATTGTTTTATTTTATTAATTCATTATTTTATTCTCATTCTACGTGACTTTACCGAAAGAACCAAAGAAGATGAATCCTTGCAGTCACGAAAGGTTTAAATCGAAACTCCTCTATCATCATTTTCCATTGCTGGAGGGGTTGCCCACCCCCCACCCCACTACTTGAATGGCCCCGCCATTGCATACAACACGTAAATATATCTACTGCTTTAGAGTTAACAACGTGACTTTACCGAAAGAGCTAAGAATATATATAGTTAAGGATCGCCCTACCTACCAGTGTAGACTGTTGGGACAAGCGTTGTTTGCGAGCAGTACCTACCAGGGCCGGCACGGGCACACGTGGGTGGGTGTGGGTGGGTGTGGGCCGCCTTTGTCTCACCGGTGGTGATGTTTTGACACCGGGTTACTCATTTGAGGCCGAGTCGACCTAGGGGAGGAGGCCCAGGAACCGGTTCGGCTAATCGCTGTCACCGCTGTTGGTGGCCGTGAGCGGGAATCCAACTCTGGTGGCCTGGGTTTGTAGCGCAGCGTGGCGTAGCGCTAACCACCACGCAAAGATCCCCCGTATAGCCTTGACATACTGTCGGGGGCAAGTGCTGTTAGCGAGCAGCAACTATGAAGGCCGGCACGGGCACACGGAGAGTCTGGGATCGATCCCACGACCTCCTGCGTACCAGGCGAGGTAGTTAACATCTCCTAGCCACTGTGATGATAGAGAGAAAGACGCAGACTCCAAATATACAGCAGCAGGCATCGTCAGGGTCGGGATCAAACCCACGACCTCCTGCACACCAGGCGAGGTAGTTAACATCTCCTAGCCACCGTGATGATAGAGAGACACGCAAACTACAAGTATACAGCAGCAGGCGACAGGGTCGGGATCAAACCCACGACCTCCTGTATACCAGGCAAGGTAGTTAACATCTCATAGCCACCGTGATGATGATGAGAGAGAGAGACGCAGACTCCAAATATACAGCAGCAGGCATTATCAGAGTCGGGATCGAACCCACGACCTCCTGCACACCAGGCGATGTAGTTAACATCTGTCCACCAGTAACTGCGAGAAACGACACAAACGAAGAGGGATACATATTCTTGGGTATTTCGGTCAAGTCACGTAGAAAGAACGAAGAATATAAATCCCTGCAGTCACGAAAGCTTTAAACCAGAAGCGGGATACGTTTACCGAAATCGAATGGCGCGATCCGATTTCGCGACACGTCGATCTCCACCGCGGCGATTCGTTACACGCCCTGGCCGTTTCTTGAATCGGATCGCGAAACCGCGATTTGTTTACTAATCGAATCTCGGCGATTCGTTACACAAACGCTTTATTTCTTAAAGGAAACCTCACAATTTTCTTTGAGTCTTTCGGTAAATTCACGTAGATAGGTTCAGAGAAAAAAAATCTGAATTCCTGCAGTCACGAAAGCTTTAAGTCAGGAAACCTCACAAGCGTGGCTGTTCCCGTTTTTTGTAAATGGGTTTATTTTTTTATTTTCGACCATTGATTCCGGCAGGCGCACACACACAAATGTGCCAACTCTTGTTATCTATACAGTATTTGAATTGTTAGCCAATTTATTGAGCCCCTTTTGTTACGCTAAGGGTAGCTGGCACAGTGCGCTAACCGCTGCACCGCCGCTCCCCCCCCCCCCCCCCCCCCCGACTCTCATTCCCCATTCATTCAATCCATTGATCACCATAGATTGTCATCAAATTTAGCTTTCACCGATTTCACACATCACGGATTTGCCTGTTAAAACTTCCTCTCCATCTATTTCATTCACCTCATCGCCACCATTGCATTCATATGTACAATTGCTAATTCTGTGCACAGTGCCTTGCATAAGGCGCTGTGTAAATTATTTTAAGATGAGGTAAGAGGAGACGCCGGAAGAAGAGGTGTGGGGAGGAATATGGTACGATCGGACGTGATGGCCCAAGGAGCGGAAAGAGATGGCGTGGAGACAGGCCGGCGTGGAGAGCGGACCACTCCCACATGAGCGGAACAAACGCGTGGAAGAAGAATTAGAAGAGGATGGCGGGCCACATTGTGTTTTGTAAGCTATCGCCGCGATTAGCAGTTGAATTTTCATGGTTCGCGGTTGTGATTGACTCCAGGGGTATTTATATTTACGTCGCGGTCAACCGTGGCAGACCTCGTGGCTAACCCCCGGGGCGATGCGCGAGCTGCTTTGTTTTGCCGAGGTTGGCGGTTCGAATCTGCCGGGCCACCCTGGTGAACGCTGCAAGGGG